AAATTCTGAAGCCAGTGTTGTTTCGTTTGAAGAAAGTTTTAAGCTTGGGATTCTCGATATATTTCTCTTGGTAACTAAAGAGAACATCACTTTGCTTCTTATTCTCTGATATCTATTTACATTTTTATCGTTTTAACCACAGTCTCTCACGCTCCAACTCTCTATCTCTCGCTGTAAAATAACTTCCGTTGAAATTCGTGTTCCTTGTTTTAATCTCTTTTGCGCAATTATGCCGGATTTTGATATCACAAAAGTTTTTGTGCGCTAATTTCTTTTAATTGAATTGAAACGGAGCGAGCGAATGAACGTAAGCTCGCGCGCACAATATGAACAGAAAAAAAAACCAACACATCAAACCGAAGGAAAATTACTGGTTAAGTGCCTGTGGAATGTCGACCATAGTAGCAACCGTAGCCATCGTCATTGTCATCATTATTTATATAAATAATTTAATGATAATTATTATGATTATTGTTATTGAGTTTAATGGCATGGCATTTTGAGCCGTGAAGCCAAAAATGATACAGAAGATATGCGCACACACACACAAAATGTGGTGGTGGTGATGGTGTTGGAGCTGCCGCTGCTTTTTATGACCGAGCACCGTGCAACAATTGAATCGTGCGCGCAAAGCAATTTATAATTACTTATTCCAGGCTTGATAGCCCGATTCAAATCGCTTATTGTTTTCTTGTTGTTTTCATCTATTCTTCAAGCTGCTTGTTATCCATGCGTTTGTTGGCTTGAATTACCGAATGCGTAGATTTTTTTTTCTTCGTTTTTTCTTTCTTCGGACCGGTGAATGACTTGTTCATTGCCTGGATTTAAACGAAGCGGCAACGAAAAATTCACAATTTTTAATGATGATGGAAATGATCTTCGGTAACACATCGCTGCATTGAGCGATGTTTTTCATTCCATAATCTCACTCGCTCTTTCTCTCGTTGAACCATTTTCAAGCATACTTGAGAGTGCTGTCGCGCATTTCAGAACCAATGAACGCATTTAAACTATAACCCCAACAATGATCCATGAAGTTAATTTGAAAAATTAGTTGGTTTTTATTTCCCCGTTTCCATCCATTAACGCATCGGCTTTGTTCGTCTCTCTCATTCACTCGAGCTCTTTCGAAGAAAGGGAATGTGCACCACCGTTGAGAAGCGAATCAATTTATTTTTGACGATTCAATTTAGCTCGCTTTTTTTATGGAGAGGAGAAAAAATGCTCTGCTCGTTAAGAGAATCCATTTGTGATAAGTACGTATGTGTACATATATGGACGGTGAGAGGATTCGATATGGTGTGAACAATTCAATTAGATTATTGGATAAATTTTATTAAACATCCATTTGAACTAATGAATACCAGCATACAAAGTATGAAGAGTGGTGTGAAGAAAAAATACAAACTAAAGAGTTATTAAATTTACGTGTGAACAGAAATAAAAATCAACAACAACATTGACATATTGCTACATGTTTGCATTGATGTTGGGTTTTATGAAGCTCAATGATCGGTAAACATTGACAGGAGATAGAGTAAGTGAGAGGCTGCTGAATGCGTGTGTGTGTGCGTATGCATATACAAGGGACGAACATCATAGAAAGTGGCTCAAATTTCCATTTCAACGGGCAAATATTGTGCTCAATAAACATCATTCAAACAACAATGTCTAAATACTCGCTTGTTCCATCCGTCGAATGAGGCATTCCAGGGCTCGCATGCACACAAACTCATGTTTATACAAACACACACATTCACACACACATTCTGTAGATCCCGCACATAAGCCACATATCGAAATGTTGTGTGTACGGTATCGGTGCAATGCACGCTTGTACTGTTCACGCCTCACAGCTATGATAACGAAAACACTGAAAATGCCACGGATGATATGAAACGAGTTAAGACGATAGAAAATGCAATAAACCGCATTTGAAATTAGCCATGGGGTCGTAGCACAAGATGTATTGTGTGCGCTCACTCGATACCCACACAGCCAATGCAAAGAGGAAAGAGCAAAGAACAGAAACAATATAGATATATGTGAACGGCATAGATAATAGAGCAACCAACTGAAATAAATCACGTAAAGTTTGAAAGCAGAAGCCCGAGCCAGTGGAAAAAAACCTAGTGTACATGTTATCGCACGCGATGCGCGCATGAGAGCAAGAGAAATGAGCAAAATAGATATAAAAAAAACACATTTTAATTGAAATAATCGACTTTAGATTTGATTCAAGCGATATACTCGCGTAGATGTTATTAATATTCGCTTCCATGGCAAATTTCTTTGCATCACTTCTATCGCTCTCCGTTGTTCCGATGTTGTCTATTTATCAATTTATTTAATACATCGCCGACAATGGGCTTCTTGATTTATTCTTCAATTTTTCATTTTGTTTCCCCTCCATTAAAAACGCCAGTCTAGTGAAACATCGGTCGTTGTTCGCTATTGAGAGAGATAGAGACCCGCCGACTTTTCGCTGATCTAAATTGCTTTTTTACCGTTTGTATGTTGTGTGTGTTTTTGTTTCCATCGGCAGAAGCGTTGTTTTTGTTGTTGGTTCTGCTTCCTTCGCTATGCGGGCTTTTTTCTACTTCGTTCTCAATTGGATGCAATTTTCGTTCTTCATCACAATGTAGAAAATTGAGTTAAGGAGAATCAACTCTTGATTCGTTTCATCGCTTGATTGCGATTTTCTGATCGCCGTGGAACAGTGGTCGTTTGCTGTGACTGTGTGTCTATTTTTCCAATGTTCGGATTAGTTTCACTTGTAAATTGTATGGCAAAAATTCAGTGCCTTTGTTCGGCCTCATTCAAGTGTTTTGCATCTGGCTGAATTATTTCTATTCACTTGTTGACTATCGATCCATCACACACACATATATACACAGACACAAACGTAGCCACTTCGCATATTCATCGCCATAATCCATGAAGCACTTCATTTTCATCAAATGAAGCGCTAACGTGAAAATCATAATGAAAACACGAACAAACGGAAGATAGAAGCCGTCGCCGTCGCCTTCGCCGTCGTCATTTCTTCTAATTTTCATGTGAATTTCATATTGTTTGCACACATGCGGTGGCGACGATTGTGCTGTACTCATCTACGTGCAACATCACGAAGTAATTTTCATATGAGTATACAGTGAAAACAAATCGTTAGACGCGTTCATCACCTCATATTACGTTCATTTGCTACTGAGATGCTTCGGTTTATTTGCTCGCGGCAATCTTTTTGTCTTATTTAATTCGCTTTCTGACATACAGTTGATCCGAGCATGAATTTTAGCACATACAATCGATTACAGTGGTAGTTGGGTGCACGAGCACCCATTGCAACGAGAGCGTGCACGAACACTTCAACACACATTTTCTCAATGAATTTCTCCTCTCGCTACTGTGTGTGTGTGCGTGTTTCTCTTAGCTTGTTAATTAAAAGCGATACGAATGAATGCAACATACACACGCAACTAGGCAATGGCAATGAATGCATTTTATCTCGTCTTAACGATTGTGTCAATGAATTTTGAAATCGCCGGCGTGCTTACAATACGCGTATACGCGCGTGAGCGCACTCGCACAAATGGAGACAATCAACGTCACAACGGATAATTTGAGAGAATGAAATCAAATTAAATTGTGCAGTTGTCATGTTTTCAACCAGTCAAACAACGCGAATGATGCACACGCACCACAGCAACATGAGAGAACAAACATATTTTACTTGCAGCGGCACTTAGACTGACTTATTTCATCGTCACGTCTGCTTTTGTGGTGCATTCATTTGTGATTCATTGTAGTCGATGTTCCGGCCAGAGCTATAAAAATGCAACAACAACACGACACAACGTTAATAAACAACAACACGATCTCACATGAATATTAACAGCACAACCAGACGAAAACTGTCAACATTTAACATTTTAATTCAATAAAATTGTAACGAAATGTAATTTTCTGCCATTTTCCCAATGAACCATGAGACATCAGCTCACTCCTGACTTATATATGTGTGTATACAATTTTCCCATCGTTTACATTGTTTATTGCGCGAGCGAAAGCGCTCGTTCGTTTCATATTGCAAATGTTTCAAATTTATTATTAAAATTTGATCAAACTTGAGAGGTGATTCCGGCGAGAATTGATATTGGTTGTCAATGCCGATTCAACGGGAGTTTTATCGAGCACAATGTATGCATGAAAAGCATCCCAGTAGATTCAAGTTAATGTCGTTGCAAAAGTTTTCACCCTCCTTGAATGCGCATTATTCAACATTGTTACGTTTTAATTCTCGTTAGTGTTTTAGACATTCAACGAACCAAATGGTTTTCAATCAGGTGGATCATAGAAAATATGGAGGGAAAACCTGGAAATGCCAGCAATACCCATACTTTGTATTTATTTCAGACGGAAAATTTGATGAAAGGAACAAAATTTGGGGTTTTCAAGTACTCTTATGTTGATTTTGCGTCAGTTATTCGAACTATGTTCAAAGTAATGTGCACAAAAACGGGAATCTCTTTGACTTAAACTTTGGATGTTTGCATAAACATATTCGTATCAAGTGTATGGAGCAATTTCCGCCACTTTAACAAGTATTTTTTTGAAGTATAAGAAGAAACGAAAGTCTCTGCTCTTTTCTCTCTCTCTCTCTCTCTCTCTCTCTCTCTCTCTCTCTCTCTCTCTCTTTTCGTTCTATTCCTAGCGGAGTTTTTTCAAAGCAAAATTCACACACTCAAAAAAGTTGGGTACCAACTCTTGAAATCGTGTAATTTAACCTAAAAAGGACTCACTTTGGTGAAATAAATATCGAAATAACGTGTTGTACGTGAAGAAAATAGCCAGCGGAAAAGTAGTTGATTCCGTGTTTTGGGCAACATCGAAACCAAGGAAATTATTGACGATCATGAAATTGTTGACGGAAAAACTTATGGAAAAAGTTTTATAGTTAACAAAACGAAAAAATTTCTTTTTTTTTCTTCCATTTACAGTTGAAAGTATGAACAAAAAACAGATCAAAGTGAAACAACAGAACTGATTCACTGTTGTGTGTATGTGGCATGAAACGTGTTGAACGAGCGACAAGAATAGCAAATAGAAAGACGTTCTAACAACGCAGCTAACGAATTCGGCAAATATGCCCAGTGTGACTAATACGCCTAATAATCAGAAATTTTGCCAACTGATTTGCCCCCTTCGGCAACATTGAATGTGAACTTGGTGCTGCGACACCAAATGGAAGTCGTCACCTTTGCGACGCGAGAGCAGTGAAAAAAGACGAAGACGAAGCAGAAGACGACGGAAGAGGAAAGAAATAAACCGAAAATTGGTCGCAATATTTAGAGAAAGTTTTCGTTTGTACGCGCTGGATAATGTCTGTGCCAAATACACGAAAATAACTGTAACAATTATTAGAGCCTATTTGTTCACGCTTATTTCGACGGAGATTGTGTCGATTTGTTGTTGCCCTCTCTTCGTCCAACATCAACATATATGTTGAATTGAGGCGCGCCCCGGAACGTGTGCATGTATGTGCGGTAATTGCTGTGAACATAGTTCATCGTTACACCAGTTGCTCGATAGCTTTGAACCCAAGCGCTCGCTGATTTGTTAGTCTACGCCATCAAAGTGACACATTTTCCAGCCGAGAAACAAATCACATCAACTTCAGAACAAACTACGTGCTGAAGAACAAACACGAAATAGACATAATAAATATGTAAAAAAAAAGAAAAAGTTTTCTTTTTCGTAACAACACGGAACAAGTACAGTGACTAATTGAGCAACCAGATTGAGGAAAAAAGAACAAAAAAAACTCAATTTATCGTTGTTGTTGTTGTTTTTTCGGTGTGAAAAAGCCAAATTCACAGAAGATTGTGCATTTGAATAGCGCCAAAGAAGTGAATTTTTTTTCACAAAGCGAGAAAAAGTGCACGAGTCCAAAACAAGAAGGAGCAACAGACAGAAAAAACCACTCACGACCAGCAAAAACCGAATCAAATTGTATTGTTCACAGCGAATGGTGTCATAATTCCTGGCAACAGCGTATCAGTTTCGCTTCGGAGAACCTTCTCCCGGCCATTTCGCGCGTGCACACATATCCAAACACACACACACACACACACACACAAGTCATTGTTCGTTCGACGACATTCATACAATAGGCTCATATTTATTGTGTGTGTTCGACAACGACAATCGGAACAATTTTGCATACGAAATCGAATTAAATGGCAAGCACTTAAAATCATCGTTGTCGCCGCGTTATTCATCTGTTCATGTTGTTGTTTTTCATGTCGGTATTTTTTTTTCGGGAGCATCTGGAATCAAGACATTTATCAAGAGTGTAAAATGATAAATCTCGCCCATTTTGCCGCAAAACAATGAGAGCTCTTGTTGTTCGCCACTAATCGTGTTATTTCGCTTGGCATATTTCGCCTGATTTGAAACACACCGTCAAAATCTTCGTTTTTTTCCCGTTGTTCGGTTATTATCGTCGACGCAACGAACGAACACAAAATTCGTTCAAAATATTTCAACGAACTACAAATATTGACTGACTATATTCATATCCAACTTGATTGTTTTTTTTTCGTTTGGTGTGCCCCAAAATCGGACAACATTTTCATTGAATGCTATAAATTTTTTGTGACTTATTGCTTACTACTTTGGTTTGCGCTGTGATAATCATTTCTAAGAGAGAAAACCACAAATCAAATAAATTTATTTACAATAACAACAAAATTCGACAGAGAAAGCGACTAAAAAAAGAGTTTGTTTAATGATAATAGAGGGATAAAAAGAAGGTCTATTCTAAAGATAACAACACATCAAATATATTTTTTATGAGAAAGAATAAATTCTATATTTTGTTGATACATTTGATAACATTTATTTGCGAAATCGAATTGTGCATGTGATTTCGTGATATACACCTATATAGTTTAAATAATATTGATCGGTTTCGCGGTTCAAAACAAAAATAAAAATATTGTGCGCAGTTTGCAACGGAAAGATAAGAAGAAGAAGAAGAAAAAGAGTTTTCGTCAATTATTTCGTGGTTAATAGAATAAATTGTACGACAAAATTGAAGAAATGGTGGTATTAGACGCGACACAAATTGGCGGTACCGCACTCTTGGGCAGCCCGTATGCCCAGGGTGCACCCGCACTCAAAATCATTCAGAAACGCTTCTTGGGCGTCCATCAATGGCTTTCGCCCATCGCAACAAAAGACCTCAAAGAACAAATCGTAAGTTATAATATGCCCTTATCATCTCATTTCATCATCATACATGCTATTTTTGTATATATGTACAACCGCTTTTTGTTTTCATATTATATGCGTAGGATTGTTTAGTCATACAGCCAATCGTTTGGAAATCAACGAAAAAAAAATAACAAATAATAAGCTCGACGATGTATGTTGTTGGCAGTTGCCATTATCATTTCGCCGTTTATAAGCGTAGGATGCGGAATGTCATGCTTGAAACAAATCGCCAAGCCAATTCTTATGACCATTCCGAGATAATAGCCACTTTTAAATTGCGTTTAGTCATTTTTATCACAAAGCCATATCCATTGCTCACAATTTTATCATTTTGAGTCATGTGGTTTTTTTTCTTGTTTCTTTTGAATTGCGTGATGAATGTGTTTGTTATTCAATGAATTGGCAGCTGAATAAACGGTTAGTCTCATCGGCCATACAGTAATTATAAGACCATAAACATAGGATTTTGTGGATGCGCTTAGGAGCCTTGGATCTCGAAGTGAACACTGATTGTGCAGATGTGCACAGCCTGCATTATTATGAACGAATGGGGTCACACAGAAAATCTATTGTTTATACATAGCCTTTTGTTTGGCTCTGTTGTGTGTGCGATATTCATTGACAAATATGAAGCATGCTTTTCATTCGATGAAAAAAATATTCTAAAACATAGTCAAGAGAGAATAATGCGCAGTGCCCATTTCCCGCCTCTCTCTCTCTCTCTCTCTTATCGTTCTGGCATGGAATTCAAACAATATCTCTGATAAAAACCATATTCATGTGTGTGCACTGCACAGTGCACATGCTCTTTTTCATATTGTCACACAAATGTTATTTCGATCGTGCCAACGGAATAAATACCATATTCGAATACTTTATGAAACGAGTAATTAAAACTAATGGCTTCAAGAATATTAATTCGATGGCAAGAATTCATTTCAAGTATGGATTTTGATGTAATTTCAGTTTTTGAACGGTCATACTCGACCGGTTAGTTTTCCATTCTTCGCATGTATATACTCATTCAAGAGGATGTTAAATAAAATTGCTCCTATTTTAATTGAATTCTCGTGGAAAAATCGTTCACTTCAGATAACTTGAAAAATTGTTCATAGTTTCATCTTCCGTTCGTTGTTCTTTCCCGTTCGTTCGTTTGTATCATTTAGCTCGGGTGTGTGTGCATTCAAAAGATCTGAAGTGTGTTCTTACCGACCGTTTTTATGCCACTCAATTTGATCTGGTACTTGACTTTTGACCTAATGGTCAGCGTTAAAAGCATAATTGCAATTAAATGTATTCAAACAATGCGTCAACATTCAAATCAAGTATGGTCATGGGCAATGGTGCTGCTTCTGCAATTGGTGTGTAGAATTTGGTGCTGACTACAACTGAATATTATCCATGAAACGTTAATTTACACTGAAAATGATCGAACTTGATAGTCAAACGCCTCTTCCATTCTACAACCTGAACCGAAACGGGTGGGGTCAATTCGCATTTCAAAATGGTGCTGTTTAACAAAACGATATAGCACTCTAAACTACTGTTATCACATTTACCGTGAGCATTCAATAAAATTTAATTCGACCATTTGGACTGCAATCGATTTGCAAGTAACCATTTGTTCCGAATTAAATTGAATCTTCATTGCCAGTCATTTTCGAATACAGGATAGATTCAATACTGCAGTGAAGTGTTTTTAGTTCTGTTTTGCGTTTCTTTTATTTTCTGCTTTTCTGACATTTTACTAACAACCATTCTGCTTATTGGGGTCCACACTTGAAATTGCAATAAAATGGGAGTTATTGTTTAAGCACACAACAGATTTGCCTTGGAATTTTAAGTGGATGGCTCAAAAAGTTGATTTACAGTTTGGCACAAAACTATTTAAAGTGTTTGTGGTGCTATTAAATTTTACACCATTCCCGTCTGGGAATATTTTTTTCTTTTTCGTTGCAAAAATGGGTCAGACCATTGCATGTGTATCGAATTCAGTTAACATTTGGCATATTTATTGCAATCAACCATCTTTTTCTCGCCTCTTTTGTTCCCATATCATTGCAAATACGCCATTTGAATGAACCGAAAATAATAAATGAAATACCGCCCCATTCGCTCGGATACTATTGTTGCAAACCAATTTGGTTTAGTCAGAGAATGCAATTGGATTTCTGTGTTATCGCTCTATTCGCCTCTATCATTACTCGCTGGAGTTTTATTTGTCTCGTTCAGTGTCAGAAACGAAATTATTTTGAATTAATCCACATCCGTGCGGTTCATGATTGCAATGAATATTAAATTCAGCGTTTCTTTTATTATTTCAACATGCGTGGTGCGCATGCGCGTTCGCTTGTTATTTTATTTCTGCCTCAGTTTTTTTCATTCCACTTGTGAAAATTTAATGACACAATTTTTCGTATAATCGTCGGACGGGTGAAAGCCACAGTTTGCTGGAAAACAAGTCGAGATTATTGTTGATGAGGTTTTGTGGCCTGGCATTTTCGTTTTTATGCCAGTTTGTGAATGTTATCGTTCATTTGCTGAGCAGCACTGTGAATGGCTGCACAAGGATAACATGGAAGGCTGACATTTTCCTAAAATCGTCGGGCTTTTTTCCATTTCTCTCTCTCCTTCTCCCTTTCCCTCTCTTGCTCTGCTGAGCTTCTGAATCATAAAATACAAATAGCAATGCCATTCATTCTCTTATGCTTGCACTTGATAATCACTTCCATTTGACATTTTACTGCTATTTTTTCGCTTTGTTCGAGCTCTCCAAACGAAACGCAAATCACTTGACCGCCTTTACTTGGAACAATACAAATTCTTTGATACGCCCATTAAGCGAGTGATAAAGAATTCAATTCAAAATTAATTAGTCATATTTTTTTATAGTGATGGGTGTATCATTAAAGCCACTTAACAGCTTGAAAATTTTCGTTTGAACCCTAAAAATTAATTTAAACAGAGAAAAAAAAAAACGTTGAAAATTCGAGAATGTGAAGTCCGAAAAATTACCAATATTCGAAAGGACGGAGACAAATATCATTTTTAATGTAATGCCCCTGCATGTATGGTATTATTTCGTTGAATATTTGCTGCATCCATTTTCGTCAGTGAGTGATTTATCGTGGCCCTGGTAACTTGAAAAACGTTTTCAACATTTTTCACCATTTTTTACTTCGGCCATAGAGAACAGCATTGATAAAAGGAGAAAAAATCTCTACTTTTTCACCACGTTAATTATGCGAAAATGAGAACCCACTTTGAACCACGCAAAAGCGGCTTTTTCCAAGTGAATGAGTTTTTCGTTTCATTTACCTACTTGTTGGCCGTTTGATATATTTTCCACGGAATAAATATTTTTCAAAGGACAATTTTCATTAAATAATCATGCCACGATTTTTTTTTTAATGACGTTCAAATTGTTTGAATTGAATGTCGAAAGAACGCGATCGATGCGATTGACATTCGAGTGCGTTGCACCTCCTCCATTGAAACTGGACTATTGACAGTTTTTTTCCTCGCTGTTTGCTCATCATTCTGCATTCGATTTGCAATTCTTGTTCCAATTTTTATTCGTATTGTATTCTCGCAAATCAAAAAAGAATTTAACCGATATTTCATTTACATTGAACGACTAAACGACAAACTTTCATTGAACGTGAAACAAACAACAAGAGAGAGAGAGAGAGAGAGAGAGAGAGAGAGGCGGAAAAAAGACTCCACAAGAGTATGATTAAAAAAAATACTCTCATGCAAAGCTGTCGAATGTTTAAAAACGCTCGACGAAAAATAAACATGACGCAGACATGAAAAATATAATCATAAATCCCTCTGGTGAATGCATTTTTGCGTACATGTCATTTGAGCCTGTATTCGCTTGTTACATTTTTTTGTCTGCAATTCAATGGACATGGTTACGGGTGTGCGTGTGCGAGAAACATTTTCACAACTATGTGCTTTTTATTCAATGAGAGCCAGCGTGAAGAGCAGAAAAAGAGATCTGGATAAATAACGATGATAATAAACAAGTTAAGCGAAAACAAAGAATTTGAAAGATGTGAAAAATAAATATCTGCCAAAACATATTACATTGAAAAATGCGGTTAAATAAATATTGCAGGCGACGCCAAAAAAACAGAATAGCGAGAGCGAAATTAAAAACACCAAACTTTCTTTTATGCATTCAGAATTTAATTAAACGCAGATTCTATTCGGTGATTTCAATTCGTAATCACAATAAAAATGACGAATAGTGTGTAGCTTACTTTTAATGAATGATGTGCATCGTTTGGTGCGGATTTGCTGTCTCTGTTTTTTTTGCTACGCAAAATTCAGAACCTGCGAATTTCACACAGGCTGCGAATGTGACGACTGAAAATGATCCTATTATGACAAAATATTTCATTAAATGAGTGAAATTCTTTCCAAAGCCGTACTCTAATGTCATTGTGCCTTTGCCCGAATGAATGCGGCTGTTGTTTTGTCTTTTGGTCAGTGATTTAGCGTGTTGCGGTGCTCTGGGAGCTAAAGAAGGAGACACGACAAATGGTATGCATAGCATTTCGAGAGCACAACTGAGAAGAATTACGCAAACCGGTGAAATGGAATTTGACTCTGCGGTATTATAACGAAGCCGCGCGAGAAAAAAAACGAAAGAACTGTATATGAAAAATAGAAGCCGAATACAATTTCTAAGCCATCATAAATAATTACGAGCTTCCCTCGTTAGATGCTTGTATAGTATACAATGTATACACTAAAGAATGTATAGTCAATGCGAGCACAGCTTCAACTCGAGAGAAAGAAAGAAATAAATGAAAACAATAAAATGTGGCAACAGAAACACACACACACTCACTGACAACGGAACACAGAAAAAAAAGAAAAGAAATGATTTCGGTAGATAATGGCGTGTAGCTGGATTTTTTCTCCTTTGTTTTATTTTCAACTGGATGATCTTTTGTTTTGTCGCGATTCAATTCATTGCCGGCAGAAGGAAATTTATCAAACCAATGCGCTGGGGATTTTGTTGTGCTTGAGCGTGTAACGAAAGCACTTCGAGCATTCACAATTCTTTTTATTTCTCTCACTCTCTCCCTGTGTGTGTGTGTGTATGTCTCTACTTCCCCATTTTCAATTTGTCGGCTCGATTGCTATTGTTGACAGTGGTTTTGGTTTCAGTGCTGCGACTGCCACACTCCTATTACATTTTTAACAACAACAGCACCGCTTTTCTCTCTCTCTCTCTCTTCGGCTGTTACTATTTCATTATGAAAACGACAAAATGCCAGAGGATCTATTTTGTTGAATTTGCCATGGGAGTTAACGAAAATTGTCCATCTTTGAATTTAAAAGACAGATACAAAATGAATTTTTCACCGGAGAAAACATATTGAAAGACAAGAACTTCACTTAAAAAAGTCCATTTATCGTTAAACGGAAACGATAAAAAAAACGAACACATTTTCAAAATGAAGATGTCCAATGTTCTTTCCCCCCCCCCATGTACTTGTAAACTGAACGAGCTTGCGTGTCCATTGTAATTAACAGAATCTTTGCAATGCATGGAATATTCGACATATACGTTGCATTTAATTTGGCTTCAATCCATGCCAAAGGTCAAATGCATTTCAATTCGGTTGAATGAAAGTTATCTCGGATGTGTTTCGTTCCGATGGAAGAAAGAGAGAGAGAAAGAGAGAAAAAAAGTTTTTTTCAACAAGAATCGTGTTCTTATTTTATTGAAGCAATTTTTTCTACATGTGGTAGACACACTTGCACCCATACATTCGACTGTTTAACACCTTCGGCACGGCGGCAGCACCATTTTCTTAAGCTGCGAAATCGAGATAGACCCATTCAAAGTTGTGATAAGTTCGTGAATGGATGCGAACAAGCCGTAAAATACAATGTCACCGAATGGTTAACAGAGCAAAAAAAAAGAGAAAAGGAACGAGTGAGAGAGGTGAATGCTTGCAATATTAAAATGTTCGAGCATTTGTCGTTCGGAATGCAGCACCAATGTGTTGAACGTTAGTTAGAACGGTAGCTTTTTAAGCACGTACATCTATTATCATATTGTTCAACGGTTCAAGCTCGTATTAGTTCCGTTAAATATACATTCGTTTCGTAGCAGATGTGTTGCATTCGGCTTTTCACATATTCGCATTGTGTATATTTCTGTTTGGTGTGTGTGAATGTATCGTTTAGATGCCGTCGATCGAGTGTCGAGACCGAGATGTTCAACGACACTGGGGATGTAAAGGCAATAGGCAGAAAAGCGAATATAAATGTCAATAAATATATACAAATAACACAACTCGAATGGGGTTTCTCAAGAGGGAGGGAGAGAGAGAGGAATAAAAGCGGATGAAGCTATTTGAATTTAGTATTTGGGTTTCCCTTGTTGCATGCACAACAAAAACGGTTCTCATCTGCAGCAGCAACAGCAGCAGCCACTTGTACACACGGAGATCGGGAGACACAGTGGTCGGAAAGCAAAACACCATGCATACTTTATTCGTCCCGTTTGCTCTGAAATGCCAATAGATTCACCAATATCGAACTCCATTTATTATTCGAACTACTTTTATCGTAATAAATTGCACAATACACTTAAGACATTGAAATTAGCTTGCAGCCAACAGGGAAAGAGAGAGAGAGCGAAAGAGAAAGGGAGTGAGAAAAGTACTCGGCATTTTGGCTTTATGCTGAACATTCGATTTTTGCTTGCCGTAGGTCTTGAGCATTCTCATTGTGCCTGCTTTTAATTTTGTTCTATTCGATTCATCGTCTCGGTTCGGTTCTCGGTTCTTGGTTTTATCGATGGAACTTTTAAGACACGTTGAATCGATTTTGTCACAATGAATTACTCGTTGTTGTTTTTTGCTCTTGAATCTCGTCTCTGGTGCTTAGTCAGTGCAAACATTGAATGCTGGGCAAATATTGATTCCCATGCACACAACGAAACATACAAATAAATAAATTATAAAAAAATGTCATACAAAAGTCCTCCGAGATCGAGTGCACAGTTTTGTAAATCGGATTGAATTTTGCCTTTTTCCCTACTTTCTCTCTTCGGATGTAGGCCGACTCGTGTGCCACACACAAGCCTGCCGCTTGGCAAGATACCGAAAAACAAACGGCAAACCATTCGGAAAACAAGATGTGAAAGACGGCCGACGATTGGGAACCATGTAGATAGTTCCACGTTGGCATTTTGACGTTTTTACGAATATAGGTCGATGAGTCGAATGGGTAACAAGTTGTGATGGCAATATACCATTCGAACATCTGCAACACACTGCCTCACCAGTTTACCAGCGCTTCGAGTGTTTTGCTTTTCTGCACGAACCGAATATGCACACTCGTACAAAACGTGATTTTTCACTTAGCCGTGTGTATTTATTTGTTCTTGCCAGTTTCATATTTTTTTTTGTTGTCTCTATTGCACAAACTAAATTCCAATTGCATAGCAACAATTGAAATACATTGAATTGTTGTTTAACTTCTTGAAATGGTTGAGCGAATCAATTTTTGGTCTTTTGCAGTTTTATGTACATTGTACAGTAATTCTACTGAAATTGGAATAAAACTTAAAAAATTGCATAAACTATTTCGTGAATTGGTTTTAATTGCTGCATATTGAAAAAGTTGTTTCATCATTTTCGACGATTCGTCCAGTTTTAATCATATTTTGGTTAGTATATGTGGCCATTCAATGAAATAAATAATCCAACAAAATATTAGTTTTTCAAGTTGTTGTTTTATTGAATTGACAAATACGACGTAAGCAAGTAAATAAGCCGTGTCTTACTCATGCCATTATTCGATCTCTTCTGTTACTGTTGATACAATGTAAGCGATGCTACGGGAAATGCATGTTAAGCATCAACTGGAGAATAGCTCATATTGCATTTTGAAGAATACGGAATTGAAAAAGAATATCGGTTCAATTATATATTGAAAAACATGATCGATAGTGTAATTTGGCCATTTTCAACCCAGAAAAAAAAGTCTACAACTGTAAATATTCCAGAGGAGACACACACGGCAATAGAAAACACACAAAAGAAAACCAAAAATGTGCATATATTGAACGATCCCAAGTGTAAACATGAGCCAATCATAAAACGAGATGCAGTCTTGAAATGAAAGCAATCTATGGAACCGATTCGAAACCACAAAATGAGCAAAATTCTTCTTGCTGTGAAATTGACTCTGGTTTTATATTTTCCATCGATATATATCCTGATTCTAGTGCCCTTTGTGTGTTCTGATCAAAGTAGTTCGTAGCTGCGGTGAAAGTATGAAAGAAGTGTGTGTGTGTGTGTGTGTGTGTGTGTGTTCCATGGCTTCCGATGACAATGAGAATATCGCCCGAAATTTTCCAATGACATCGATGTGCACTTCGACAACGGAATTCTATATCGCACAGAAGTTTCGCTCATTTCAATATCTTCAGGGCAAAAAGCTACAACAAGGAGGAGCAACTACTCCGTTCACTACTATTCAAGTGATTGCACAATGCAGAAATATTATTGGCGGAGACCGTGCATATTTTCCACTGTTCAACTTCCTGTGAATGTCGAGCAGCATCAATATCATATTGTTCGAATCCAACATTCTCACATTATCAATTTTGCCACTCACTCAGACACACGAGCTCTGATCTCAATGCAAAGCGATATCGATTGAAAAACATATGCAATCCCTCTGTTCCGCAAGCATATACACGATTCGTACAATGTGTGCATTTTGCATAGTATTGATGTTTTAATAAAATGTTGAAAAGAGCGACAAAAAAAGCGAAAAAAAACCGTTTGCCATGGTAACTGAGAATTGAACTCTTGTTATTAGAATAGCGAGAAAATATTGATATTACACTTTCAGAGAGAGTGAGTGAGAGAGAGAGAGAGAGAGAGAGAGAGAGAAAGAGAAAAACGCCTTGAAATATTTGGAAATCTTTGCTTATCCTGGAATTCGTACATACCAGAGGTTCGATTTCAGAATTTTCGATTGCTTAATGCTTATCATTTATTGAGACGGTATGGAATTACAACATTTATCAAGGTTATGGAGCCCGGTGTCGCAGCAAATGCTACACCAATCAGCCGAAATTTATTGACGGAATTTCCAATAAATTTGATGAATTTTAAGCCATAAATCACATATTATAAATAATAATTGATGGTTGACTATGAATTAATAATCGATGCCATTAAATCGGCAGGATCAAATAAACGGCATTCAATCCATCATGTTATTTAATAATGAGATGTTTTTGGTGCAAAATAAAAAATCGAACGGCAAATGGCAAACAAAGGGTGCACACAGATAAAAATATTGGGCAACGGAATGGCGGCATTAATCGTGAATATTGTCATTTCGATGGATGTTGCTCAGTGCTCACATTTTAATTAATTATTTTGTAAGCGTTCACCTAAATAAAATTAAATGCTGCGTTTGGTGTATGGTAAATTGAAATGGGGGCTGTTGTGGTTGGACATTGAAAATCAATATTGGATAGGCATTGCTCGAGCCTATTCATTTCACTTTAGTCGTTCGTTCGTTCGTTCATCAATCAGGCCAGAGGTGAATCAAACATACAATACTTGAACCGTTTTTCTGTTGTATTTCGGGCTTATCATCATTAACATTGCTTCACTGTGTGCTATGGTAATTATGTATTGTAGGTGTGCCGCTACCATGAAATATTTAGAGTTTTTCTTTGGTAGTTTGAGTCCACGGGCACACAAAAGCACTCTCCCTCACACACACGCACCCGAAAGATTGAAGGTCTCGGTCAAAATGTATGTGTTCGTTTGCTCTCCGACGCCATTCATTATTGAACCGTTCGTCAATAATAATATTTTTGGCCTGTCAAGGCTCGATAAAAAAAGACAGTAGTTTAGACACGCCGCCGTTGAAGCGAATGTCTGACTTTTGTTTAATATTCTTTCAACACCTCATTTATGTGGCGGCGTAATTAAAGCCGATGTTCGTCTGACACTCTCCCATTCTCTTTTCACGCATCCAATGTATGTCGCATCACACAGCCGACTAGAATCTAGCCAGGCTCGATACATCGTCTGACCAATTGATGCAAAGTGTAATAGAAAATGTTTGTTTATCAGTCTCATTGTAACAAATGCTGGGTGTATTATCATACGTTTATGTTTCTACGAAAACTAAATGCGCAGCATACCATTTTCATTCATTCTTTGCATTTCGGTCAAAGTAAATATGGTGAAGCATTCGTAAGATTTCAAGTAAAAACAAAACAAAACAAATTTGGTCCGTATTAAATTCCAGTGAACAAAGATAAGAAAAAAGGTTTTGTTTATTTTATTCTTGAACAAAGCCGGGCGCAGTATTAGAGCGTAGCTGGGTTGTTTTGACCGGCCAGACGAGTCGAAAAGTGAAGCCAATGAAGAAAAAAGTACACACGCGCAGACAACAAAATTAATTCCACAATTTATTTAGTAACTTGAGCGCCCGTTTTCTTATTCATCAGATTTCAATGAAATCTCGGTCTGAGCATCTATAAGCTCAAGAGTGTGAAAAGATGTATGCATTCAAGTAATATCGAAACGAGGGAAAAAGTGTCAAATCGTCATTTGAAACTCGAGTGCCACCGACTTAACTCACCGACTCACTCAAACCAGTTTTCTAAACGCATTCATTGCTGCCGAATCAACCGAAATGGAGTGAAAAGAAAACATATCGGAGAAAAAAATATGCAAACAAAACAATCTAGAATGTTGTTATTTCCAACGGAATCTCCAGCATCGAAAAGATTTGGAAACAATGCGAACAAAAAGCGCTTTTTGTTCGCTTTCAAGTTGGCGATATAAAAGCATATTTTTTGTTTCTCTTGCTCGGTCCTATTAGTCAATCGATTGGCTGATTTGAAAGAATCTTCACAGTTCATTGACACCTGCAACAGT